TTTTCTGTAGGGATTGCCAGTTGTTTCAGGCACCGTTCATTAAAGAATTCTTCCTTTCCCCATCAGTATCTAATGTACCTTCTGTATATAACGAGACTTATATAAGATTTATATAAGAATTTATATAAGAACCAGTCAGAATGGCAATCATCAAAAAATCTACAAACAAAAAGTGCTGGAGAGGGTGTGGAGAAAAGGGAACCCTCTTGCACTGTTGGTGGGAATGTAAATTGATACAGCCACTATGGAGAACAGTATGGAGGTTCCTTAAAAAACTACAAATAGAACTACCATATGACCCAGCAATCCCACTACTGGGCATATACCCTGAGACAAACATAATTCAAAAAGAGTCAGGTACCACAATGTTCACTGCAGCTCTATTTACAACAGCCAGCACATGGAAGCAACCTAAGTGTCCATCAACAGATGAATGGATAAAGAAGATGTGGCACATATATACAATGGAATGTTACTCAGCCATTAAAAAGAAACGAAATTGAGTTATTTGTAGTGAGGTGGATGGACCTAGAGTCTGTCATACAGAGTGAAGTAAGTCAGAAAGGGAAAAACAAATACCGTATGCTAACACAAATATATGGAATCTAAAAAAAAAAAAATGGTTCTGAAGAACCTAGGGGCAGGACAGGAATAAAGACACAGATGTAGAGGATGGATTTAAGGACACGGGGAGGGGGAAGGGTAAGCTGCAACAAAGTGAGAGAGCGGCATGGACATATATACACTACCAAATGTAAAATAGATAGGTAGTGGGAAGCAGCCACATAGCACAGGGAGATCAGCTCCGTGCTCTGTGACCACCTAGAGGGGTGGGATAGGGAGGGTGCGAGGGAGATGCAAGAGGGAGGGGATATGGGGATATAAGTATACGTATAGCTGATTCACTTTGTTATACAGCAGAAACTAACACAACAATGTAAAGCAATTATACTCCAATAAAAATGTTAAAAAAAGAATTTATATAAGAATATATAAGAATTATATATTCTGTTCTGTTCCATTGGCCTATACTTGAGCCAATAGCTCATTGTCTTATTATTATATCTTTATGAAGGTCTTGGTAGCTGACACTATAAGTTCTCATATTTTGTTCTTCATAACTCTTATTTATACTTAGTCTTTGATCTTCCAGACAACTTGTAGGATCTGCTCTTTAACTTCACCAAAAACACTGTGATTATCTCTCATTCCTTAGCATAGTGTCTCTTCCTTTATTCAGGTCCTTCTTTATGCCATTCAGTAACATTTTGTACTTTTCTCCATATGTGTTTTACAAATATTTTGTTAGATTTAGTCCAAGCTGACTTTAGTTTTGGTTTTAATAATTCATGTTTTAATAATTTGGAGATAATTTTCAAGGCATATAATCAATATTGTCCTTTTTTTCCCAATTCTTATAACTTTTTCAATATATATTTCATTGCTTTGTCCCCCCAGGACATTGCTGAATAGACACAATTATAGCAGACATTCTGGTTTCCCTTACTTTAATAGAAATGCATCCAAAGGCCCGCTATTAAGTCTGATTATTCTTCCTGTAGGCTTTTTATGGATTATTTTCAGGTTAAGGAAGTTCCTTAATATTCCCAGTTTTCTAAATGTTCCTTTTTTCCCATAAATTAATGCTGAAGTGTCATTGGGATGGCCATATGATTTTACTCCCTTAATCTGTTAATGTGTATTTCATGAATTGATTTTTTTTGATGTTAAACTGTTTTTGCATCTCTAGAATAAACCCTACTTGGTTATGATTTATTTTATTGTCTACATTGAATTTCATTTTGCTCATAGTTAATTTAATATTTTTCATAAATGAGATTGATCCGTAGTCTGTCCCATTTTATTTTCAAAGCTTTACTAACTTCAAAAAATGACTGAGGTGACTTTTTCTCTTTCTCTATATAAGGATTATCTGACATTTAAAGTTTTAATACAGCTCAGTTACAATACCCTCTGGGCATGCTTTTTTTGAGGGAATGAAAACTTCTGAATATTGATTTAATAGTGTTTTCAACTTGTTCACATAAGTTATTTATAGTATTGATTCTTGACCTTCTAAGTCTCCACTGCATTTGTAGGTACATTTCCCTTTTCATTCATAAAAATGAAAATGAAAACTGTTTCTCCTTTTTTTCCCCTTTATCAGTCTTGCTAGGCTTGTCTATTTTATTCACTCCTTCCAATAACAAAGCTTTTAGCTTTGTTGATTTTCTCTAATTGTATTTTTGTTTTCTATTTTGGTGATTTCTTGTCCTACTTTAATTCCTTCTTTTCGCTTCCTTTGATTTTTTTTTTTAATAATATGCCCTTAATTTGAATGCCTAGTTCTTTAATTTTCAACTTTTATTTTTCTCTAATATGAGATTTAGGCATAAATCCACCACCAGGAACCACATTAAGTGCATCCCACATTTATTCTTATTATTATTATATCATTTAATTCTGAAAACTTTTTCCTTTTCATCATTATTTCTTCTTTGACCCATTAGTCATGTTGAAGCAATTTTTTGGCAGCCATACTTTGGGTGGTATTTTTACTATTGATTTCTGTGGCAGACATTGTTAGTCAACTATCCCAATATCCATTCTATTTTCATTCTTTGTAACAGAACCCTGAGTTTGAGGTCACAATGTGCTCAGTTAATGGACATTTCCCAGCCTCTCCTGCAGCTAGATCTGACCATGAGACTAAGTTCTGATCAATGAGCTGTTAACTACTAAGCATATCACACTTAACATTCTCTGAACACAACTACTGATGATCAATCACTACCAAACATCTATTCCCAAAATCCCCACCACCTGCACCATCTTCCACCCCAGGTTTTTGGGCCAAAAACCCAAAGGTCCTTCTTGATTACACTTTTCTCCATACCCCATATCCAATCCATTACAGTGTCTTATCAGCTCCATTTCCAACTGCTATGAACCTAGTCATAGCATATATGGTGTGGTGTCAGCAAATACAATATATCATGTATAATACTGGAACACACACACCATATAGTTATTTGAGGTATTATATATGGTAGTATATTATATATGATGTCTAACGTGTTATATAAAATACGTTCTATATAATATACAATGTACCATGCATAATATACAATGTATAATATATACTATGTAATAAAGTATACAGTAGTCAATCTACTATAAACGATGACAACTAATAGGAAGGTCTTTTTTTTTTTTTTTGGCGGTACGCGGGCCTCTCACTGTTGTGCCCTCTCCCGTTGCAGAGCACAAGCTCCGGACGCGCAGGCCCAGTGGCCATGGCTCACTGGCCCAGCCACTCCGCACTATGTGGGATCTTCCCGGACCGGGGCACGAACCCGTGTCCCCTGCATCGGCAGGCGGACTCTCAACCACTGCACCACCAGGGAAGCCCAGGAAAGTCTTTTAAAGACATACATCTTAAAATTTTTTAGTCCCACTTCTATAATTCCTCCAAAGTCACACAAACACACAGAGAAAGAGAAAGAAAAGGAGCAGAAAGGGGGAAACAAGAAAAGGGAAGGGATAAAACAATTTGAAAGAGGATCCAGCTGATGCCAAGCCCCTGAGTTCACAGAGGACTGCACTTGCTTCCCGGTCCTCACCTTGAGGAAAGGAGTGGCAGGTGGTACCCAGGTGGCACCTGTCTGTGAGCCTGAGAGGCACTGTATGGCTGTGGCATAAGCTAATTAGCAACATACGGTTCTCACTGTCACCTGCTTCACTCTTTGCCAAGTGAGTGGACCTGTGGTCCCCTCTCATGAAGCCTTGACCTCTCAGGGCCTGTGTATGAATGGTGGAGTGGTAGCAATAAGGGTACTTCACTGGAGTCCATTTTCTCCACAACAAAGTCCATGCTGGGAGTCATGGAATCCGTTAATTGCGAGGATTCTTAAGAAATCAATTACTCCAAGTCCAAATGGAAAAATAACTAATGAAACAGCATCTTGTAGATGCCTTATTTAGCTATATTTCTGGGTTTTAGCGCTATAGAAAACCAGGTCACATTTTTCAACCAGGTCATGTTTTGCATCTTCCCACAGTTGGCCTTTTTCTTTCACCTTAACGTGTGATTTTCTACATCTCTTGATTTCTACTCTTGAATTCTATTTCCAGTCACCATATGCTTCTTTTCAGCAAGCAGTAACTTGGAGCAATTTTGCCCACAAGTTTTGGAAAGTAGAGACTATGGAAGATAACACTAGAATCGCCCCCTCCCCATGGGCTTGGGACTTTCTGATTTCATCAGTGTCACTGAGCTCTCTGGTCCTCTCTAAAGGACATTGCCATTCTCTTCATGGTAAATAGGAAGGAAATGAAGGCAATTAGAGCCCTTAGGATGTAAATTTCGGTGTTGGTCGAAAGGTTCTTTTTTTCCCAATCCTGCTTTTGTAAACAAGCTCTGGTGGGACTAAACCTGGAAAGCTACCACAGCTCCATGACAACTGGACAGGCCAGCCATGGCGACCATCTCCATGTGCACATCACAGCCGTTTACAGACATGCATATGCACACTGCAGGATAAACATTCACTTCTGCTCTCCCCAAGAGTGGATCATTAGCAACCAGTGAGTACAAGGTGGGCTGGGGAAGAATTCTACTCACACGTCAGCCTTTTTCTTGATGAACTCAGTTGTTTCTTCTTATTGATTATGCTAAGGTGAAATCATTGCCCTCTTTCCTGTATGCTGTACCACATATAAACACTGCCTTTCTATACTTGCTCATCAGATTAGTGATACCGTTTTTTCTCAGTGTACATATCTGTGTGTAAAGGAGAAAGGGGTAGAATGATTCTCAAACAGGGATCCAAAGTTCTATGGGAAATGTCTTTTAGCATTCTCCTTATTTTGAAATCTAAAAAATAAATCTTTCACCAGTTATACATTTTTTAATGAAGGAACAAATCTTATGTATCAAGCAACTGAACCCCAAATGATGACACAATGGACACAGCCCTGCACAAGAGCACTCCACTTACTCACGTTTGCATGAGATATCCTGCTCTCCCAGAGGGTTGCACTTCTCACAATGGAAATACAGCAGGAGGATTTCTGAAAGATTTGAAACAAGGCATTTAGAATCACTCCAATAATTCTCACAAAGATATATTTCCATTCCTGAGTTGATCTGAGGGCAGATCAGAAGCTATTCTTTTTTAAGGAATATTACTCAGCCATGAAAAAGAATGAAATTCTGCCATCTGCAGCAATGTGGATACACCTAGAGAATATTATGCTTAGTGAAATAAGTCAGACAGAGAAAGACAAATACTATACATTACTTATATGTAGAGTCTAAAAAATAATACAAATGAAAATATATGTAAAACAGAAACAGACCCATAGATATAGAAAACTAGTGGTTACCGACCGAGAGAGGGATGGGAGAGGGGCAAATTAGGGGTATAGGATTAAGGGATACAAACTACTATGTATGAAATAGATAAGCAACAGGGATATAGCACAGGGAATTACAGCCATTATCTTGTAATAACTTTCAGTGGAGTATAATCTGTAAAGATATTGAATCCTTATGCTGTATACCTGAAATTAATACTGTAAATCAATTATTCTTCAATAAAACAAATTCAAACAATGGCTGTTCAGTCACTGAGTGCCTGATATTGTCCATTATGCTGTCCAGGGTTCTAGGGGAACAATGGTGAGGCCAGACAGATACAATTCCTACCATCAAGAGTCCAGAGGAAGACTTGGATAGTAACTACAGAATTATACAAATAAATGTAAAATTTCAACTGTGACAAATGTTATGAATGAGAGAGATAAAGAATTTTAAGAACACTGTGATGTATTAGGATGAGATGGAATTAAACATTTACACCCTCTGCCATGTGACTTTGAAGTACCTCCCACTTGAGTAAAGGAAATATGCTTCCTTGTCCCACTGATGCTGAGCCAGTCCCCATGACTTGCTTTGGCCAATGACATGTTCACAAGCTTGACATGAGCAGAGGTTTTAAATGTACACGCAGGGTTTGGCTTGGCCTCTTGCATTTCTGTTTTAGTAAGAAAACAAAACAAAACAAAAAATTGCCCCAGGCAGCTACTGGTCCCAGATAGGAGGAGACAAATGTAATAGATTCAAACCTAACCCACAGCCTCAAGCCAATCCCAGCTGAGGCTAGCAGAGCCTTAGCCAACTCACAGATCTGCAAACATGAATAAAAACTGGATGCTGCTGATGAAACGCTACTGATTTTGGAATTGTTATGCAGAATTATCATAGCAGAAACCTGACTGAAACAAATATACAATAGATACAGTAGGTTCATTCGGGGAGGTCAGGAAAGGCACCCTTGAGGATATGACAATGGTAGGGAGCCTTGTAATTTTTTTTTTTTTTTTTGCAGTACGCGGGCCTCTCACTGTTGTGGCCTCTCCCGTTGTGGAGCACAGGCTCCGGACGCACAGGCTCAGCGGCCATGGCTCACGGGCCCAGCCGCTCCACGGCATGTGGGATCTTCCGGGACCAGGGCACGAACCCGCGTCCCCTGCATCGGCAGGCAGACTCTCAACCACTGCGCCACCAGGGAAGCCTGGAGCCTTGTAATTTTACTTAAAATACCAAACCTTAAAAAGGCCGTATCAGGATTTATTTTCATATTTCTACTTTTCAATTTGATGCTTTTTGTTTGTTTGTTTGTTGACAGTCCTCAAGGTCCTTGACTTTTTGTTGGTCAACATTTGCTAATATAGTGCCTCAGCCTTTTATTGGCCTGGATAGCCTGGTGTCAAGAAGGAGGGACCCCAAGAGAGCTATGACCAGGTCATAAGCATATATCTACATACCGAAGAAACCAATGGTGAGCCCACCACTTCCTCTCCTCCAGGTGATTAGAGTCCAAAGCAGGAGACAGTCAACAGAGAATCACACAAATAAAGGCAAATTTGCAATGATACTAAATGTTATAAAGGAGAGATACATGGGATCCAGGCATCTGGGGAGCCAAGGAGCGTGGATTACAGAGACTGGGACAAAACTGGAAGAAGAGACAGTGGCATCTCTGAGATCAAAGTACCAAGACTGAAGGAATATGACAAGAGAAGTAGAAGGATGTTCCAGGTGGAAGAAGAAAGGTAAAATGACTGGAAGAAACCACTGGGGGGAGGGGCCTAAAAAGCTTTCATAGCACTGAAATTGAGTGGTACTGTAAACATACCACACTGGCAGGTACAGCTGCGCACATGTGAGCCACACTCGTCCGTCTTCCCGTGAGGTCAGGAAATGTGTCTTTTACACAGTAAAGGAAGAATCTAATTTTACAAAGTAAAGGAAGAATCAGGGATTGGAGCTACCTGATCCCTGACATCAACTTTGTACCGGGGTACTAGGTAAGCCTCCAATCAGTGTGTTTAAAGAATACAGGTGGATTCTCCCATGATCCTAAAAGGAGTCACAGAGTATAAGAATTGAAAGGGATCCTAAATCACCAACATTCTCACTGAATAGATGAGGAAAATGCTCAAGACCACGCAAACATGCAGTGACAAGCCAGCGATCACATTTCACAGTCTGGACTCCCAGGTCCACTCCATAATCCTATATTCAGGTATGAGCCCACGTGGTCTTCCAAGTCCAACTCTCAGGTTTGACTGAGAAAGCAACCCCATGTCTTCAGGGAGGAAAAGGAATCTCATTCACAAAGCAAGAATCATCAGATGGAGAGTCAGGCCCAGTTCCATAACAGGCATCTTAGTCCTCCTCCATATTGCTTCACACATCTGCTTTTGTTCTGAGCAGGTAACCCTTGCCCAGGGTGGTCAGCACCAAGCACTGAACGCTGTCCCAAACCACACTGCTCTGACATGTTTCTTAAATCAATGGAGAGTTCTCAGCACCACTGCTCAGAGCTCTGCAGGTTGCAGACGGAACAACTGAGTGCTATCATTCACAGAGTGTGCAATGCAAACAATGCCCCCCTGAGGTTGTTCAGTGCACCACCTGAACATATGTACACAGCAGTCCTGAGATTTCTGCTCTCCAAACAATAAGCCATCATGGTAGCCAACAGTCTGAGGAAATCTTGTGCATTCTGTTTCATTCTAATAGTAGACTCTTTCCAAAGGGTAAAGGCAGCTGCAAGAAGAAAGAAGAATCAGGGATGGGGTTATCTGATACCTTAGAAAAGCTCCATCTTGAACTTTTAAGCAAGCCTAGAATGCAGGTAGCATTTTTTGGTAAACAAAAAAGCTATTGTAATAAAAAAAAAAAAAAAAAAAAAAAGGCTTGAAAGAATAAAGTAACTGGGATATTCATTGCCAGTCATTAACCTGATTTTCTAATGAATATGGCATTAGGCATTCATTAACAATCATTTGTGTTTATGTTGAAGAGTGGATGTATAATGAAGGTTGGTAAATGAAAGCAAAATTAAACCAGGGAATTTTGGACACTTATAAAGCAATTAACTTGTTTGGCAGTAATTACACATTGAAAGCTAAATCAAGTGCATTTAGAAAGCCACAAGAGTCGCCACATAAACCAGAGGTGCTTTGCTCTAAAATAATAGAAGAACCTCTCTTTCTTTCAAAATGAAAGAGAAAGGCAAAAGTATGGTGTAAATGATAAATAAGGCCCAGGTCTAATGAAAAGAAATACGGTTACAGCCCATATGTTAGAGAAGAGGCAAGTTACTGAAAAAATAGGACAACTTAGCTAATTAAAAAAAGAAAGAATGAAAAAAAAAACCCTTTTGTAACCACAATGGTGTGAAAACAGGTGGCCTGTGGCAGAGAGTTCAAGTTTTTGTTCTGTCTGTGCACGTGGGCATGCACACACATGCACAGGCACACAGACTCTACATTCTTGAACTACCTATTAGATGTGTGAAGCAGAAAAACTGAATCCTCAGTCAGGTCCTTGGCCAGCCCCTGCATCTCAGTATGTAGTTACCAGGTCTCTGTCACTCGCAATTCTGTAACTTGAGTTTCCAAAACAGTGCTTGACTATAGCTTTTTTACTCGAGTTAGCACATGGCATGAAAGGTCAGCCATTAAATGCATTTAGGGGCTACTTTTAAAAAGGAGGAGAGAAGGGCGGTGGTAGGGAAAATAAAGGTGATCCCCAGGGAAAAACCATCCTGGAACTGGTTAGAGAGCAGAAGGGAGACACAAAATTCCATGTGGTCCCAGCATTCATAAACAGAAACTTTGCTCCAAAAATACATTCACAATTCAAAACAAGAGTTGCATATTTTCAGAATTTTCGATCCTACAATAGTCATACAAGAGATATTACAGAGGTGCTGGTTGGGTGTACTTATTTATTTTTTTGCTTTCCTCGGGTTGTAATAGGATGGTTGTACTAGAGTCTTCAGATGAACCCGAAGGTCTGAGCAGGGGACAAAGTTTTCCTAATAGGGGTGTTGAGCATCCTCCTCAAAAAGAGCTGAAGGGCTTCCCTGGTGGCGCAGTGGTTGAGAGTCTGCCTGCCAATGCAGGGGACATGGGTTCGTGCCCCGGTCCAAGAAGATCCCGCATGCCGCAGAGCAGCTGGGCCCGTGAGCCATGGCCGCTGCGCCTGCGCGTCCGGAGCCTGTGCTCCGCAACCGCAACCGGAGAGGCCACAGCAGTGAGAGGCCTGCGTACCACAAAAAAAAAAAAAAAAAAGCTGAAGATTCTGAGCCCTCCCCATCTGACAAATACTTTGCAAATAGGGGCTACAGGCGCTTGAGGGTTGGTAACCAAAAGAATGGTTCCCAGGGGGATCCTTAACGGGCAGATGGCTTTGTGGAAACATTTGCAAAGTGCTTGGGTATCCACTATGGTAAAAACAAATACTTGTTTTGCCTCCGGATTGGAACAGAAAACGAAAACCAGGAGATAGCGTCTGAAATCCTTACATAGGTCATTTAACTGCTACCAAATTTTTTTAAAAATGTGTTTGCCCTGACGGGGTGTGTGCATTTCTTTCAAGACATGTGGCCTCGCTTTAAAAAGATAAACATTTTATTTCCAGGCAGAGGATCAAGACATTAAACTGAAAAACTCATTTCTCACTTGTTTACAACCATTTGAAACATTTAGACCAT